CCATCCCCTCCCACCCATCCCCTCCCACCCATCCCCTCCCACCCATCCCTTCCTACGCATCTCTTCCCCCCCCCCCCCCCCCCCCGTTTTCTCCCATCAGGTCCGCAAGCTAGACGATTCGGAGTTCAAAAACCCTTTTTCTCGCGGCTGCTACATTCGAGTAAGTCCACCCATTCCCGAACGTCCATCCAGACCCGAACCTCCATCCTTCCATCCTGTTCCGAGCCTCCATCCAATTCCGAACCTCTGTCCTGTCGTGAACCTCCTGTGCCCAACCTCCGCCCATTTCGGCCTTCGCGCATCCTCTTTCTTTTACGAGATTGCTTTCTTATCCCCTCTGCCTCTGTTTCTCCTGCCCCCTCTCTTGCCTCTTGGCCTCCCCTGTCCATCCCTTCAGGTGTGTGATAAGAGCAAGGCTGGCCGCGATCGCAGCTGGTCACCGTCGGCCTCCTCCCTTGCTCCTCTTTCCTCCCAGGCCTGCTCTAATGCTGCCGCTCTCCCTTCTTCCCATGCTCTCTGTCCCTTCAGATGCGTGAGGAGAGCACGACCGGCCGCAATCACAGCAGGACACCCCGTCCACTTTCCTTCACGAGAGTTGCTTCCGATGCAACCATTCCCCCCCTCCTTGCTCCTGCCTCTTGCCCATGACCTCATTCCTTGTCCCTTCAGGTGCGTGAGGAGAGCAAGACCGGTCGCGATCGCAGCAGGTCCCCGCGTCGCCGCGAGCGGTCCCGTTCACGGTCTCGCTCCCGCTCTCGCTCCGCTTCGGGTTCGCGCTCCCGATCCCGCTCCAAGTCCAAGTCTCGCTCGCGCTCTCGATCGGTACGTGGTTTGCCACTCAAGGTGTATAATGTCCCGCTCTCGATCCCGCTCGCGCTCATGCGTGCTCTGCTTCCAGTCCGTGCTCTGCTTCCAGTCTGTGCTCTCGCTCTCACTCCAAGTCCAAGTCTCGCTCGCGCCCGCGATCGGTATGTGGTGTGTTGCTCAAGGTGTATGTTGTCCCGTTGGTGTGTCGAATCAATCGTCTGTTCAAGAGATGCAATTTTCCGACCTTGATCACGCTCTCGCTCCGCTTCCGGTTTTCGCTCCTGATACCGTTCCAAATCCCAAGTGTTGCTTGCGCTCGCGATCTGTGAATTTCCGCTTAGGGTTTGGCATGGCCTGGGCTCAATGCCTGCCGTTTTCCTCTTCCCTCTCGCTCTGCGAGTGATCGCCTTTCCGACTTTCACTTGCCCTGCCCCTCCCGCCACACACACCTCGTCCGCAGCCCACCGCTCTGCGAGTGATCACCTTTCCGGCATTCGCTTGCGCTCGCGTTCCAACGCTCGCTCGCGCTCATGGTCGGAATGCGAAGTCACGTGTAGTGCCATGTGCCTCAAGATTCGGCCCAGCCCATCTCTCACTCAGGCAACGGCCAATATTTCCTTCTCCTACCTCCCCCTTGCAGCCCAAGAAGAGCGGATCCAAGTCCCCCTCTCGCTCCCGCTCTCGATCCAAGTCTCCTGCCAAGTCTCCCGAGCGTGCTCGCTCTCCTGTAAGCTCCCTTCTGATCTTGTCTCCTGCCCTTCCCCCCTCCCCTTCCCCCTTCTCTCGCTCTCCTGCCCTTTCCCTCCCCCTTCTCCACCCACTCCCTCTTGCTCCCGCTCTCGATCCAAGTCTCCTGCCGAGTCTCCCGAGCGTGCTCGCTCTCCAGTAAACCCTATCCACTCTCCCCGTCTTGCTCTTTTGCTCTCTGCCTCGCTCCCGCTCTCGATCCAAGTCTCCTCCCGAGTTCCCTCTGCGCTCGCCTGTGAACAATCCTCTCCCCCTCTCAACCCCCCCTCCCCCGACCCCTCCCCCCCCTCCCCTCCTCTTTCACGTTTGGGTTTCTTGCTTTCAGGCTGGCAGTGATGGGAAGGCAGCATCTGGTTGATCGTTGCATTGCTCGCTGAACCTCATTTAGTACGTATGATTCACTTGTGTGTGCAGTGACCGAATGGGAGCTTCGTGTTTGTTGCTTGTTAGACTTGTATATTAGTGGATATGTTTGTGTATTTTTTAAAAATGGCTAAATTGGCTCAAGATAAGGGCGTTTCCAAAGGTTTTTTTTTGTAAAAGGTACCGTACTCGGAATAGCTGCATAGCACAGAACCGGTGAAAGCTGGCCACAAACCTAGCTGCAACGGAAATATTCTTCGGGAAAATTCACTCTGGTAAACCCCTAAGAGGCACTAGATCGTACTTCGAGAGGTGGAAGCCGAATTAGTCTGATTTAGTCAGAGACGACCGGCGTTCAGTGTGGTGAGTGCAAGCAGGTGCTGTTTGAACTCGAAGCCCCGCTCTCAGAAAACTTGCGGGAAGTCCGCTTGACGGAACGAAGAGTAATGAGCATTTCCCGTCGCCCTGCCCAGGACAAACCTGGCAAGTTGACGGCAAGAAATTGTTTTGCTGGCCTTGTCCACAGATTTGTTGAGCATTCGCCCCAGACTTTTCTTTCCTACCTGCCCAAGTCAACTGATACGACGGAAAGACACACTCCGGCCGTCAGACAGTCTCTCCATCCCACCACTTCAGCATGCAAGGAATTCAAATGTGGTGGTTCAATAATTGTCAGCTTCCAATAATCGTTGGCGATGGCGATGCGGCTGCCGACTAGCAAGAAGTCCATACACCACGGCGGTTCGGATTTCTACCTGGCGAGGTGCTCCTCCCGTTCCGCTAGAGGAGTATTTAATCTACTGCTCCTTCAACTTTCTTCACACCACCATTTCACAGTCCAAGGGCTTCAGTCCTCCGATTCCAGCCGTCTATTCCGATTGCCAAGCTTGCAATATCGAGTTTCAGCCCTCCGTTATCCACAGCAGGATCCGGTGTTTCCTGTCTCTTTCAGCCATGGCCCCCATTCCCCTCAGCAGCTTGGCTTGCCTTGGCTTCCTCGTCGTCCTAGCTTCCACCCTCCTCACCCCCGCGGACGCCGTCTACGCCACTTTCAGCGAAGGCATCAACTCCGGCGGCGGCGCGTGCAACTACGAGGGTAACCTCCGCGACGACCCGCTTTTCAACAACGGAATGACCGCCATGATCCCTCATAGCAGGTACGAGAACGGCAAGGGCTGCGGCACGTGCTACGAAGTCGAGTGCCTCAACCACGCGAGCTGCCGCAGCAGCGTCGTGACGGTCCGAGCGGTGGGACTTCAAGGCGAGGACTTCCTGCTCTCCGACACCGCGTGGGACGAGATCTCCAACGACCGGTCCGCCGGCCGCGTGGAGATTAGGTACCGCGGCGTGGACTGCCCTAACAACGGCGGGATCGCGGTTAAGATCATGCCCGGGAGCAACCCGTACTGGTTCGCGATCCAAGTCTTAGGAGCGGCCGGCGCGGGCGGCGTGGATCTGCTGGAATTATCGACGGACGGCGAGAATTGGACGAGCATGAGCCAGCTGGGGAATAGCGCCACGTGGATCCTAAATCCCGCGAAGGATGTCGTCGACGTGGGCGTGGCGGTGAATCTGCGCGTGACGCCGGTGGGAGGCGCGCAGCAGCCGCTGGTGTGGACCGATGCGATTCCCGTCGGGTGGAGCGCGGGAACGACCTACCATGCGGACGGCAACTTCTAGACGTCTCGTCAACAAGGTCCAACGAGGCGTGCTCATTGGTAGTCGTGGCTCTCCCGTGCACCGCAGATGCGGATTCAGCACTGCGGCGGCGACGGGTATCAGACTCCGAAATAAATGCGATGATGGTGCGGAATAGTCGAATAAAAACTGTCCGCGTTGTGGTTGAGTGCCTGATCGGCACCTCGCCCTACTAGTCTAGTTTCTGTTGCGCTCATTGCCCTCGCATGTCTTCAATGTTCGATTCCTATCTTCAATAAACGTGATCCTAGTGATCAAAGAAGCCTGAATAGTGTACGGCCACAACCACAGAGGAGCCCTTACCCTTGGACTGTTGCGAACATACGGTGCTCAGGGAAATAGCGAGGAGATGTGAAAAACCTGTGCTGTTGTGAGCATACAGTGCTGAGGGAAAGAGCGAGGAGACTGGGAAAACCTGTGTGATTGACGAGAAGGACACGAGTAGAGGAAGGGGAGGGGATGGCTGTTGAGTTGGGTAGAAATGAGCCACCACCAGATACTCCTCGTCACTGGAGATGCTCATCACCCGAGGAGAGAGGGCTGGCGCATTGCTAGCAGACGGGGGAGAAGATAAAGATTCCCTGTCAAGGCGTGTCCTTAAACGACAAAATGTGACGCTTCTTCGTGTCAAATCTGTTGCGGATAGCAAACTTGACAGGCAAAATCCTGAATGACACGATGTAGCCTGACAGGGAGTGGGCGCGAAGGGGGAGCGGAGGGAAAGCGAACGGGGACGTGTGTGAGGGGGTGGCAAAAAAAGGTTGGGGGCCAGGCGTTGCACAAAACGGATGGCTGGTCAACCTCACAGACCAACCACGCGGTAAAACCTCTCAACCCAACCCAACCACGAAGCGTAACCTTCCCACCTAGACCAGCCAAACAGGTAAGCCTTTCCACCCAAACCAACCACTCAGATTGACCTCTTCACCCAAACCAACCGCGCAGCCAATCTTTCTGCCCAAACCAGACACACACCCCCCCCAACTTCACACGAATTTCGCACTTGATCTGACAATTTCGAGGCGCCTAACTGAAAGCGCCTTTCGCTAGGCGCCATTCGAACAGCGCCTTTCGATAGGCGACTTCCGCTAGGCGCGTTTCGTTTGGCGTTTTTTATCGGCGCCTTTCGTTGGGCGCCTTTTGTTAGGCGCCTTTCGATAGGCGCCTTTCTATAGGCGCTTTTCGTTAGGCGCCATTCGGTCAGCGCCTTTCGTTAGGCGCCATTCGATCGGCGCCTTTCGTTAGGCGCCATTCGATCGGCGCCTTTCGGTAGACGCCATTCGTTTGGCTGCTTCAGTTCACCGCATCCCCTTGTCCTTCATAAGACTCCCTCCGCATCCCTTCGCATCCCTTTTCACTGCATCCAACCATTCCGCCCCTTATTGCTCCTGCGCGGGGGTCACGACCACAGCTGGTCACCCAGCAGCATCCCTTTGCACCGCATCCAACCAAATTCCGCCCCTCGTTGCTCTCCTGCCTCTGTCTCCGTCTTCCCTCTCGTGCCTTGAGGTGCGCAAGGAGGTCGCGATCGCAGCAGGTCACCAGGTCGCCGTGAGCGATCCCGCTCTCGCTCCCGCTCTCGCTCCCGTTCGCGCTCGCGCTCCGCTTCCGGTTCACGCTCGCGGTCTCACTCCAAGTCCAAGTCTCGCTCGCGCTCGCGATGGTTACGTGGATTTCAGTGGCGCTTCAGGTTTGACCGATGCGCAAGGTATTGAATCTTTCCCTCTTGCTGCACTTCTGGTTCGAGCTCGCGATCTCACTCCATCTCCAGGACTCGCTCGCACTCGCCATCGGTATGTCAAGTGACATGCCGCTCAACTCAAGGGGAACCGTCATATCCTGAGTGAGTCCCTTCCCCTTGCGTTCCCGTCTCAGAACCGCAGTACGGCAAGATTCTGGTCTTCTCTTTTCTGTTCTTCTCTTTCCGCAGTACGGCAAGATTCTCGACATCCAGCTCAAGCTTCCCCTTGAGAACGTGGGAGCGTGGGAGCGTGAGAGCGTGGGAGCAATTCCCCTTGTTTGTTTTACATTTCCAAGAGCGGGTATGTGTGGGAGCGAGGGAGCGCGTTAGAGTTGCAGAGGAATGGGCGGGAAGCAAGCAAGCACCCTCCTTTTTAACAATTAATTTTTCTAGATGGCGCCCAAGTCAAAGTCATGGCGCCCAAGTGGGGTTCTCTCCTGCTGCAGTGGCAAAAGCGGAAGCAAGCAAGTAAGCAAGCTGAGCAGGTGGCGCGTGGCTGCTGAGTCGCCTCATCTCCTACCCGTCCTGCTATCCCTCGTGCTATCCCTTAACCCCCTGCTACCCCCCCTGCAATCCCCCTTGCTATCCCCCTTCTCCTGCTATCTTCTGTACCCCCCCTCCCCATCAGGGGCAGGGACGCCCCCCCCCCCTTCGCGCAGGTCTTCAGGGTGACACCCAGCAGCATCCCTTCACTTGGTAGGGACGGCTACGACTCTGACGGCCACAGGCTGCGCCCAGCAGCATCCCTTAACACCCAGCAGCATCCCTTCACACCCAGCAGCATCCCTTCTCACCCAGCAGCATCCCTTCACACCCAGCAGCATCCCTTCACACCCAGCAGCATCCCTTCACACCCAGCAGCATCTCTTCATAAGACTCCATTGCCTCTGTCCCTGTCTTCCCGTCCGTCCCTTCAGGAATGTGAGGAGAGCAAGGCCAGCCGCGATCGCAGCAGGTCACCGCGTCCATTTTCCGATGCAACCATTCTCCCCCTATTTGCTCCTACCTCTGTCCCTGTCTTCATTTCTTGCCTTGTCAGGTGCGTGAGGAGAGCAAGACCGGTTGCGATCGCAGCAGGTCACCAGGTCGCCGTGAGCGATCCCGCTCTCGCTCCCGCTCTCGCTCCCGTTCGTGCTTGCGCTCCGCTTCCGGTTCACGCTCGCGGTCTCGCAAGTCCAAGTCTCGCTCGCGCTCGCGATGGGTACGTGGAATTCAGTGGCGCTTCAGGTTTGACCGATGCGCAAGGTATTGAATCTTTCCCTCTCGCTGCACTTCTGGTTCGAGCTCGCGATCTCACTCCATCTCCAGGCCTCGCTCGCACTCGCCATCGCTATGTGTCGTCACATGCCGCTCAAGGTCAAGTCACATGCCGCTCAAGGTCAAGTCACATGCCGCTCAAGGTCAAGTCACATGCCGCTCAAGGTCAAGTCACATGCCGCTCAAGGTCAAGTCACATGCCGCTCAAGGTCAAGTCACATGCCGCTCAAGGTCTCCTGCTGTAGAAGCATAAGCGGAAGCAAGCAAGTAAGCAAGCTAAGCAGGTGGCGCGTAGCTGTTGAGCTGCCTCATCTCTTTGCTACCTCCCCCCTCCTACCCGTCCTGCTATCCCCCCGTGCTATCCCCCTTCTCCTGCTATCTTCTATACCCTCCCTCCCCTTCTTCTGCCGTCTTCCCCTTCTCCTGCTGTCTTCTGGTTTTCCCCTCCCCTTCTCCTGCTGTCTTCTGGTTTTCCCCTCCCCTTCTCCTGCTGTCGTCTGTTCCCCCCCTCCCCGTTCCCCTCTGGCAGTCCGCGGACCCCAGAGACGCCGAAGATGCGATTTGAGGCAGGGACGGCTACGACTTGGACGGCCACAGGCTGCGCGTGGGAGCTGGCGCCTGGCAGCATGCATAGACGTCTCTGTTGCTTGCACCCTTCCCTTGCTGTGGCCGATGCCAGTTCGTGGACCCCAGAGTTGCGGAGGACGCCATCAGGGGCAGGGACGGCCACGACTCTGACGGCCACAGGCTGCGAGTGGAGCTGGCGCATGGGGGCCGCGGCTTATGCCCTCTCCTCCCCCCTTCTGTCTTATGTTTCTACCTGACAGTTCACCGACCCGCGTTATGCGGATTAGGGGCACTAGGGGCACTAGGGGCACTAGGGGCACTAGGGGCAGCTATGACTTGGACGGCCACAGGCTGTGCGTGGAGCAGGCGCATGGCGGGCACGGCTCTCATCCCCTGTCCCCCCCCCTGCTATCTTCTGTCCTTCGCTTGCCAGTTGGCGGACCCCAGGGATGCGGAGGACGCTATAAGAGAGCTGGCCATGACTTGGACGGCCACAGGCTGCTAGTGGAGCTGGCGCATGGGGGCTGCGGAGGTGGCAGCTTCGGGGATCGCCGGGGGGACTTCCAGCTGAGCGGGGGCGGGACGTCTTGCAGGACTGAGGACGGCGTTGCGTTGGTTGGAGGCATGTGGGTGGGTGCATGGGACGGTGATGAGACAGCTTCCGTGGTGGCTGGTGGCATTCCCAGCCGCGAGGGGGCGGGCCGTCTTGCAGGACTGAGTACCGCGGTGCGCTGTTTCTCTCTTTTTCCCATCCGTGCAATGCCCCTCCAGCCCCACTTTGCGCTTCTCCCTCTCACCCCCTCTCACCCGCTCCCCGCGTTGCGTCTCCCTTCCCTTCCTCTCTGTCTGCTCACCGGACTCTCAGGACCACATGCGGCATGCGGGCGACGTGTGCTTCGCGCATGTCTTCAAGGAGAGCAACGGTAGGTGGGGATGGTGGAGGGATGTGATAGGTGTGGCATGGACGCATGGCATGGCACGGTGTGGCGTGGCATGGCGTGGCGTGACGTGGCGTGGTGTTGCATGGCGTGGCATGGCGTGGCGTGGCGTGGCGTGGCGTGGCGTGGCGTGGCGTGGCGTGGCGTGGCGTGGCGTGGCGTGGCGTGGCGTGGCGTGGTGTGGCGTGGCGTGGCGTGGGGTGGCGTGGCGTGGCGTGGCGAGGCATGGCGTGGACAAATAGCGTGCATGCATGTGGTGTTAGGTGTGCTGGCGACGTGCGCGTCGTGCAGGTCTTCAGGGTGTTTTTGAGAATCCCAAGAAACGCCCTGCAGGATCGCGGTAAGTGTGCTGGCGACGTGTGTTTCGCGCAGCTCTTCAAGGAGAGCAATGGCAGGTGGGTGGACCGTGGAAGAGAAGGTGCGTTTCTGTCGCATCACAGTCATGTTGGTAGGTGGTGGTAGGTGGTGGTAGGTAGTGGTAGGTGCGTACGTGGATGCTTGAGGCCCGTAATTTGGCATGGACGCATGAGGTGGCATGGACGCATGAGGTGGCATGGACGCTTGAGGGGGCATGCTGCTAACTTGCCCCGCGTCCAGGGGCCCCCTCCCCGTCTATCAAGCATGACGGGATTCGTGGACTGCAGCAACGGGGAGGACACGAGGCATGCTGCTTCCGCGTTGCCTTCGTCGCCCATCCTCTTCTTGCCCCTCGTTCCTCCCCTCCCCATCCCCTCCCCTCCTCTCTCTGCGACCAGGCATGATGGGACTCGTGGACTGCAGCAACCAGTACGACATGAACCATGCTACTTTTGCCTCACCCGCATTCTGCCATTTCCTTGCCCTGCATCCCACTCTTCCCCCTCCCTCCAGGCATGATGGGGATCGTGGACCACAGCAAGGAGGACACGAAGTAGGCTGCTTGTTCTGTCTCACTTCACTGTTTGTCCTCACCCCTCCCCTTCCCCCTCTCTCTCCCCTCCCCTTCCCCCTCTCTCTCCCCTCCCCTTCCCCCTCTCTCTCCCCTCCCCTTACCCCTCCCTCCAGGCATGATGGGGATCGTGGACTACAGCAATGAGGAGGACATGAAGTATGCGGTGAGTCGCAGGGGTGAAAGCAGGGGTGAGTCGCAGGGGTGAAAGCAGGGGTGAGTCGCAGGGGTGAGGCATGGTCGCACGCAGGGGTGAGTCATGTTGGCAAGTAGGGGTGAATCATGGTCGCACGCAGGGGTGAGTCATGTTGGCAAGTAGGGGTGAATCATGGTCGCACGCAGGGGTGAGAAGCAGGAATTATGAGTGAGTAAGGATAATTCTCTGCTCGCGTTTGTCTTGATCCTAGCTGTATCTCCGCCCCCCTTCAATGCGCCCATGCTTCTCCCTCTCTACCCATCTCCTGTCCCCTCCCACTCATCCCCTCCCACTCATCCCCTCCCACTCACCCCCTCCCACTCATCCCCTCCCACGCATCTCTTCCCCCCCCCCGCCACCCCCCCGTTTTCTCCCATCAGGTCCGCAAGCTAGACGATTCGGAGTTCAAAAACCCTTTTTCCCGTGGCTGCTACATTCGAGTAAGTCTTGGACCTCCATCCATTCCCGAACGTCCATCCAGACCCGAACCTCCATCCAGTTCCGAACCTCCATCCTTCCATCCTGTTCCGAGCCTCCATCCAATTCGGAACCTCTGTCCTGTTGTGAACCTCCCGTGCCCAACCTCCGCCCATTTCGGCCTTCGCGCATCCTCTTTCTTTTACCGCTGCATCTGCCCTTTGTCGGCCCCTTTTTGCCCCTTCGACTGCCCCTTTTCCTGCCCCTTTCTTGCCCCCTCTCCTGCCTCCTCTCCTGCCCCACCTGCCCCTTACCCTACCATGTGGACTCGCCTGTGGTATGAGGAGAGGACGCCGGTCGTGATTGCAGCAGCTCACCTCATCTTCTCTCTTTCACGAGATAACTTTCTTATCCCCTCTGCCTCTTTCTCCTGCCCCCTCCCCTCCCCCCTCTCTTGCCTCTTGGCCTCCCCTGTCCATCCCTTCAGGTGTGTGATAAGAGCAAGGCTGGCCGCGATCGCAGCTGGTCACCGTCGGCCTCCTCCCTTTGTCCTCTTTCCTTCCAGGCCCGCTCTAATGCTGCCGCTCTCCCTTCTCCCGATGCTCTCTGTCCCTTCAGATGCGTGAGGAGAGTACGACCGGCCGCAATCACAGCTGGACACCCCGTCCACTTTCCTTCACGAGAGTTGCTTCCGATCCAACCATTCCCCCCCTCGTTGCTCCTGCCTCTTGCCCATGACCTCATTCCTTGTCCCTTCAGGTGCGTGAGGAGAGCAAGACCGGTCGCGATCGCAGCAGGTCCCCGCGTCGCCGCGAGCGGTCCCGTTCACGGTCTCGCTCCTGCTCTCGCTCCGCTTCGGGTTCGCCCTCCCGATCCCGCTCCAAGTCCAAGTCTCGCTCGCGCTCTCGATCGGTACGTGGTTTGCCACTCAAGGTGTATAATGTCCCGCTCTCGATCCCGCTCGCGCTCATGCGTGCTCTGCTTCCAGTCCGTGCTCTGCTTCCAGTCTGTGCTCTCGCTCTCACTCCAAGTCCAAGTCTCGCTCGCGCCCGCGATCGGTATGTGGTGTGTTGCTCAAGGTGTATATTGTCCCGTTGGTGTGTCGAATCAATCTTCTGTTCAAGAGATGCAATTTCCCGACCTTGATCACGCTCTCGCTCCGCTTCCGGTTTTCGCTCCTGATACCGTTCCAAATCCCAAGTGTTGCTTGCGCTCGCGATCTGTGCGTGAATTTCCGCTTAGGGTTTGACATGGCCTGGGCTCAATGCCTGCCGTTCTCCTCTTCTCTCTCGCTCTGCGAGTGATCGCCTTTCCGACTTTCACTTGCCCTGCCCCTCCCGCCACACACACCTCGTCCGCAGCCCACCGCTCTGCGAGTGATCGCCTTTCCGGCTTTCGCTTGCGCTCGCGGTCCAACGCTCGCTCGCGCTCATGGTCGGAATGCGAAGTCACGTGTAGTGCCATGTGCCTCAAGATTCGGCCCAGCCCATCTCTCACTCAGGCAACGGCCAATATTTCCTTCTCCTACCTCCCCCTTGCAGCCCAAGAAGAGCGGATCCAAGTCCCCCTCTCGCTCCCGCTCTCGATCCAAGTCTCCTGCCAAGTCTCCCGAGCGTGCTCGCTCTCCTGTAAGCTCCCTTCTGATCTCGTCTCCCGCCCTTCCCCCCTCCCCTTCCCCCTTCTCGCGCTCTCCTGCCCTTTCCCTCCCCCTTCTCCACCCACTCCCTCTTGCTCCCGCTCTCGATCCAAGTCTCCTCCCGAGTTCCCTCTGCGCTCGCCTGTGAACAATCCTCTCCTCCTCTCAACCCCCCCCTCCCCCGACCCCTCCCCCCCCTCCCCCGACCCCTCCCCCCCCTCCCCTCCTCTTTCACGTTTGGGTTTCTTGCTTTCAGGCTGGCAGTGATGGGAAGGCGGCATCTGGTTGATCGTTGCATTGCAGGCCTCAGGATATCAGGGTAAAATACCCTTACGGCCCTTACTATAAGGCTGGGGTTGGTGTTGGACCCTTATATTTAAAAGTGGTTTAGTTTTGGACCCTTATGAAAAAAACTAAATTTGTACCGGACCCTGATTTTGAAAAGTGGTGCAGCGTTAGCACCCTGATGCGGAAAAGTGTTGTGTAAAATCACCCTTACACAATCACACATGCGATCCCCCGCTATAATCATTGATCCCCTTGGCAACCTGTAGATTTCGGCTTAAGTCCCCCCCCAATCCGAGAGTTATTCCTCCTATACCCCCCGCAACCCAAGATTTCGGCTAAGTCCCCCACTGCCAAAGGCATTCCTCCCACAGCCCTCGAGCGACCCCGAAAAATTGGTGAAGTCCCCCACTGGCAGAGACAAAGCTACTGCAACCCAGAGGATTCGGCTAAGTCCCCCACTAAGAGAGACAGTCCTGAAACGAAAAGAAAGCCCTGAAACTACCTTGAAATTACAGGGTAGCCTGAAACGAAAAGAAAGCCCTGGACGTGATATGTCAAACCATCTTTTCCCCCCTACCCATTTCGGCGAGGGAATGTCGCGCCTACGAAATGTCGGCGACTTGAATTTACAGGTTTTTACCTGGCCCCTGCCCGCGCACGACGGGGATCACGTCGTCAATTTCTTCTGCTAATGGTTTACGCTTTTTATGGCTGCCACTCACCCAGGAATTCATGCGCACAATTACAAAACCTGTCATCTTGAATGTATAATTCGTGTTGGTAGAGTCGTATCCGCCACTACATTCGTTAAAAGAAATTAAAGAAAGAAAGAAAAGAAAAAACCGAGTGGGGCACTAACGGGAAATCAGGTCGAGACCAGGAAGGGTCTTGGGAATGAGGTCGTATTTCTACAAGATAGTAATCAGTACCAGCAAACCCGAAATGGACTCTGAAACGCGAAACAGTGAGGTCCGAGGGTCAAAACGCGAATTCCTGTTCGGTTTGATTTGGTACTTCGCGAAGTTTGCTTCCCTGGTACTGAACGCTCTAATGTAGAAATACGCACTAACAGCAAAATTACCGAGGTGCGACATTCCCTCCACTTCAGCACTAACAACCAAAAATCTTGGTGCACCCTGTCGAGTGCCACCCAAGGCACGTCGTCACATCATACAGTATCTACAATACGTCAGTCGTCTGATCATGCGAGATCCTGTAACTACAGTAAAGCGTAAGGCTGCGCTGGAGTTATACCCTTATGTGAAAAAGTACAAATATTTAGGACCCTTATATTACAAAGAAGCTAAAAAAAATACCCTTACAGAAAAAGTGGCAGCAAGCGAGTACCCTTACAAGAAAAAGTACTTCGAATCCTATCCAGAGGCCTGTTGCATTGCTCGCTGAACTTCATTTAGTACGTATGATTCACTTGTGTGTGCAGTGACCGAATGGGAGCTTCGCGTTTGTTGCTTGTTAGATTTGTATATTAGTGGATATGTTTGTGTATTTTTTAAAAATGGCTAAATTGAGTGCTCAAGATAAGGGCGTTTCCAAAGTGTTTTCTTTGTATAAGGTACCGTACTCGGAATAGCTGCATAGCACAGAACCGGTGAAAGCTGGCCACAAACCTAGCTGCAACGGAAATATTCTTTGGGAAAATTCACTCTGGTAACGCCCTAAGAGGCACTAGATCGTACTTCGAGAGGTGGAAGCCGGTTTAGTCTGATGTAGTCAGAGACGACCGGCGTTCAGTGTGGTGAGTGCAAGCAGGTGCTGTTTGAACTCGAAGCCCCGCTCTCAGAAAGCTTGCGGGAAGTCCGCTTGACGGAACGAAGAGTAATGAGCATTTCCCGTCGCCCTGCCCCAGGACAAACCTGGCAAGTTGACGGCAAGAAATTGTATTGCTGGCCTTGTCCACAGATTTGTTGAGCATTCGCCCCAGACTTTTCTTTCCTACCTGCCCAAGTCAACTGATACGACGGAAAGACACACTCCGGCCGTCAGACAGTCTCTCCATCCCACCACTTCAGCATGCAAGGAATTCGAATGTGGTGATTCAATAATTGTCAGCTTCCAATAATCCTTGGCGATGGCGATGCGGCTGCCGACTAGCAAGAAGTCCATACACCACGGCGGTTCGGATTTCTACCTGGCGAGGTGCTCCTCCCGTTCCGCTAGAGGAGTATTTAATCTACTGCTCCTTCAACTTTCTTCACACCACCATTTCACAGTCCAAGGGCTTCAGTCCTCCGATTCCAGCCGTCTATTCCGATTGCCAAGCTTGCAATATCGAGTTTCAGCCCTCCGTTATCCACAGCAGGATCCGGTGTTTCCTGTCTCTTTCAGCCATGGCCCCCATTCCCCTCAGCAGCTTGGCTTGCCTTGGCTTCCTCGTCGTCCTAGCTTCCACCCTCCTCACCCCCGTGGACGCCGTCTACGCCACTTTCAGCGAAGGCATCAACTCCGGCGGCGGCGCGTGCAACTACGAGGGGAACCTCCGCGACGACCCGCTTTTCAACAACGGAATGACCGCCATGATCCCTCATAGCAGGTACGAGAACGGCAAGGGCTGCGGCACGTGCTACGAAGTCGAGTGCCTCAACCACGCGAGCTGCCGCAGCAGCGTCGTCACGGTCCGAGCGGTGGGAGTTCAAGGCGAGGACTTCCTGCTCTCCGACACCGCGTGGGACGAGATCTCCAACGACCGGTCCGCGGGCCGCGTGGAGATTAGGTACCGCGGCGTGGACTGCCCTAACAACGGCGGGATCGCGGTTAAGATCATGCCCGGGAGCAACCCGTACTGGTTCGCGATCCAAGTCTTAGGAGCGGCCGGCGCGGGCGGCGTGGATCTGCTGGAATTATCGACGGACGGCGAGAATTGGACGAGCATGAGCCAGCTGGGGAATAGCGCCACGTGGATCTTAAATCCCGCGAAGGATGTCGTCGACGTGGGCGTGGCGGTGAATCTGCGCGTGACGCCGGTGGGAGGCGCGCAGCAGCCGCTGGTGTGGACCGATGCGATTCCCGTCGGGTGGAGCGCGGGAACGACCTACCATGCGGACGGCAACTTCTAGAAGTCTCGTCAGCAAGGTCCAACGAGGCGTGCTCATTGGTAGTCATGGCTCTCCCGTGCACCGCAGATGCGGATTCAGCACTGCGGCGGCGACGGGTATCAGACTCCGAAATAAATGCGATGATGGTGCGGAATAGTCGAATAAAAACTGTCCGCGTTGTGGTTGAGTGCCTGATCGGCACCTCGCCCTACTAGTCTAGTTTCTGTTGCGCTCATTGCCCTCGCATGTCTTCAATGTTCGATTCCTATCTTCAATAAACGTGATCCTAGTGATAAAAGAAGCCTGAATAGTGTACGGCCACAACCACAGAGGAGCCCTTAACCCTGGACTGTTGCGAACATACGGTGCTCAGGGAAATAGCGAGGAGATGTGAAAAAACTGTGCTGTTGCGAACATACGGTGCTGAGGGAAACAGCGAGGAGATTGGGAAATCCTGTGATTGAGGAGAAGGACACGAGTAGAGGAAGGGGAGGGGATGGCTGTTGAGTTGGGTAGAAATGAGCCACCACCAGATACTTGTCACTGGAGATGCTCGTCACCCGAGGAGAGGGCTGGCGTACTGCTAGCGGACAGGGGAGAGGAGAAGATTCGATGCGAAGGCGTGTTTCTAAATGATGAAATGTCACGCTTCTTCGTGTCAGAACTGTAGCGCGTGGCAAACTTGACGGGCAAAATCCTGAATGACACGAAGGAGCCTGACAGGGAGTGGGGGCGAAGGGAGAGCAGAGGGAAAGCGAACGGGGACGTGTGTGAGGGGGTGGCAAATGGCTGGTCAGGTGTTGCACAAAACGAATGGCTGGTCAACCTCACAGACCAACCACGCGGTAAAACCTCTCAACCCAACCTAACCACGAAGCGTAACCTTCCCATCTAGACCAGCCAAACAGGTAAGCCTTTCCACCCAAACCAACCACTCAGATTGACCTCTTCACCCAAACCAACCGCGCAGCCAATCTTTCTGCCCAAACCAGACACACACCCCCCCCAACTTCACACGAATTTCGCACATGATCTGACAATTTCGAGGCGCCTAACTGAAGGCGCCTTTCGCTAGGCGCCATTCGAACGGCGCCTTTCGATAGGCGACTTCCGCCAGGCGCGTTTCGTTTGGCGCCTTTGATCGGCGCCTTTCGTTAGGCGCCTTTCGTTAGGCGCCTTTCGATAGGCGCCTTTCTATAGGCGCTTTTCGTTAGGCGCCATTCGCTCATTGCCCTCGCATGTCTTCAATGTTCGATTCCTATCTTCAATAAACGTGATCCTAGTGATAAAAGAAGCCTGAATAGTGTACGGCCACAACCACAGAGGAGCCCTTAACCCTGGACTGTTGCGAACATACGGTGCTCAGGGAAATAGCGAGGAGATGTGAAAAAACTGTGCTGTTGCGAACATACGGTGCTGAGGGAAAGAGCGAGGAGATTGGGAAAACCTGTGATTGAGGAGAAGGACACGAGTAGAGGAAGGGGAGGGGATGGCTGTTGAGTTGGGTAGAAATGAGCCACCACCAGATACTCCTCGTCACTGGAGATGCACCACCGAGGAGAGAGGGCTGGCGTAGTGCTAGCGGACGGGGGAGAGGAGAAGATTCGATGCGAAGGCGTGTTCACGCTTCTTCGTGTCAGATTTGTAGCGCGTGGCAAACTTGACGTGCAAAATCCTGAATGACACGAAGGAGCCTGACAGGGAGTGGGCGCGAAGGGAGAGCGGAGGGAAAGCGAACGGGGACGTGTGTGAGGGGATGGCAAATAAAGTTGGGGCCAGGCGTTGCACAAAACGAATGGCTGGTCAACCTCACAGACCAACCACGCGGTAAAACCTCTCAACCCAACCCAACCACGAAGCGTAACCTTTCCACCAAGAACAGCCAAAGAGGTAAGCCTTTGCACCCAATCCAGCCACTCAGATTGACCTCTTCACCCAAACCAACCGCGCAGCCAATCTTTCCGCCCAAACCAGACACACACCCCCCCCAACTTCACACGAATTTCGCACTTGATCTGACAATTTCGAGGCGCCTAACTAAAGGCGCCTTTCGCTAGGCGCCATTCGAACGGCGCCTTTCGATAGGCGACTTCCGCCAGGCGCGTTTCGTTTGGCGTTTTTTATCGGCGCCTTTCGTTAGGCGCCTGTCGTTAGGCGCCTTTCGTTAGGCGCCTTTCTAAAGGCGCTTTTCGTTAGGCGCCATTCGATCGGCGCCTTTCGTTAGGCGCCATTCGATCGGCGCCTTTCGGTAGACGCCATTCGTTTGGCTGCTTCAGGTCACCGCATCCCCTTGTCCTTCATAGGACTCCCTCCGCATCCCTTCGCATCCCTTTGCTCCTGCGCGGGGGTCACGACCACAGCTGGTCACCCAGCAGCATCCCTTTGCACCGCATCCAACCAAATTCCGCCCCTCGTTGCTCTCCTGCCTCTGTCTCCGTCTTCCCTCTCGTGCCTTCAGGTGCGCAAGGAGAGCAAGGGGGATCACGGCTGCCCTCCCTCTTCTGAGCAATGCAGTCTTTCCCGTTTCTTCCACATCCTGCAGCATCCCTTCACACCCAGCACCATCCCTTGATAAGACCCCATTGCCTCTGTCCCTGTTCCCGTCCGCCCCTTCAGGTATGTGAGGAGAGCAAGGCCAGCCGCGATCGTAGCAGGGCCTCCTCTCCTGCCTTTTGGCCTGCCGCAACCGTCCCGTAAGGTGCGTGAGGAGAGCACGACCGGTCGCGATCGCAGCAGGTCACCGCGTCCATTTTCCGATGCAACCATTCTCCCCCTATTTGCTCCTGCCTCTGTCCCTGTCTTCATTTGTTCCCGGCCTCCTGTTCCTCTATTTCCGCAGTACAGCAAGATTCTCGACATCGAGCTCACGCTTCCGCCTCGCCCCCCTGGCTTCGCGTTCGTGGAGGTGAGCTTGGGAGCGTGGGAGCGTGAGAGCGCGTTAGAGTGGGAGCGTGTTGCAGAGGATGGAGTGTGCTATCCCCCCTGCTATCCCCCCTGCTATCCCCCCTGCTATCCCCCCTGCTATCCCCCCTGCTATCCCCCCTGCTATCCCCCCTGCTACCCCCCTGCTATCCCCCCTGCTATCCCCCCTGCTATCCCCCCTGCTATCCCCCCTGCTATCCCCCTGCTATCCCCCCTGCTATCCCCCCTGCTACCCCCCCTGCTATCCCCCCTGCTATCCCCCCTGCTATCCCCCCTGCTATCCCCCTGCTATCCCCCCTGCTACCCCCCCTGCTATCCCCCCTGCTATCCCCCCTGCAATCCCCCCTGCCATCCCCCCTGCTATCCCCTGCTGTCTGTTCCCCCCTCCCCTTCTCCTGCTGTCTTCTGGTTTTCCCCTCCCCTTCTCCTGATGTCTTCTGGTTTTCCCCTCCCCTTCTCCTGCTGTCGTCTGTTCCCCCCCTCCCTGTTCTCCTCTGTCAGTCCGCGGACCCCAGAGACGCCGAAGATGCGATTTGAGGCAGGGACGGCTACGACTTGGATGGCCACAGGCTGCGCGTGGAGCTGGCGCATGGCGGGCATGGCTCTCATCCCCTGCCCCCCCCCCTGCTATCTTCTGTCCGCCCGCTTGCCAGTTGGCGGACCCCAGGGATGCGGAGGACGCTATAAGAGAGCTGGCCATGACTTGGACGGCCACAGGCTGCTAGTGGAGCTGGCGCATGGGGGCTGCGGGGGTGGCAGCTTCGGGGATCGCCGGGGGACTTCCAGCTGAGCGGGGGCGGGACGTCTTGCAGGACTGAGTACGGCGGTGCGTTGGTTGGAGGCATGTCGGTTGGTGCATGGGATGGTGATGAGACAGCTTCGGTGGTGGCTGGTGGGATTCCCAGCCGCGAGGGGGCGGGCCGTCTTGCAGGACTGAGTACCGCGGTGCGCTGTTTCTCTCCTTTTCCCATCTGTGCAATTCCTTGGACATCTTCCAGTGAGCGCGGCGTCAGGAGACAGGTTAGCAAGTAGGAAAAAACAGTTGAAAACGATGCTTATGTAAACGCGAGTTTGGAGTAGTCGGAGCTCTTCCCTTAACAACCAATTAAACAGGTGACAAACATGTTTCGGCCGCAGGGCATACCCTAGCGAGCCTTCTTCAGTGCCAATGAGAAAGTATGAGCAAAGCAAAGCTTCTAGGTAGAAACTAAGCATCCAACCGAACCAAACTCAATGTAATCTTCACCCGGGTCACCCAAAATATCGAGGACCAATCGAAGCCAACCTGGTAAAAACCAAGGGGCCACGTCTTCAAATCTCGAGGGTGTCTTGAGAATGAGTTGAATTCGAATTCTCGCCAGTAGGCAGCCTCGGAAGCCACGCGCGCACCAAACGCTTCGATAAGCTATTGTCAAACATGTGTATTTGTCATGTTTGTATAGACTGTATAGGGTCGCCTCTTAGAGAGTACAACACTTAGGTATATCTGTGTGTACTCTCACTCTATCAAATCACTTGTTCAATTTTTGATATGGTATCACGCGTAGGTAGGATCCCCCCCCACCTACCGCTTCCGCTCGCCCCCCTCTAGCCCCGTTACGTCCTGCCACCTGAAGGGGCGCCCCAGCCGGGGGGGTCACAATGTCCAAGGTGAACAGGCTGGACACCGGGTCCATGGGGAACGTGGACAGGGGGGCACCAGTGGCGGCCCTGGTACAGACAGCATACCGCTCGTGACCAGGGAACGTAGTGGTGACACCAAGGTCCTGGAGGCAGCCGATCCCAACTAGGTTCCTGGAGAAAGAGGGGATATACAGACCTGTGAGAGAGCCCGAAGGAACCGCCGGACAGGGAAGGGTGGTGGAACTGCGAGCGACTACGGGACCGGCGGAGAGGTCAGCAAGTGAAACAGCAGTAGGAACAGGAAGCGGCGTCAGCGTAGTAGAGTCACGGAAGAAACACCGGGAAGCGCCAGAATCCAAGGTGAAGGAAAGCTAAGCAGTGGCGTCTGGCGACGGGGCGACGGCGGAAGCACCAAGGCTAAACAAGGCAGAAGCTCCTACGCCTGACGCAGCAGGGGAGGCTAAGCTAGGCACAACTACACTAGGCGATAAGGAGTAATAAGAGGGGAACACACTAGAGTCATCGGCATACAACAAATGCAGGGCAGAAACAATGGCATCCATGTCCATGTAAAAAATCTGAACTCTACGACTAAGCAAACTGTGCCAGTCCGGGAGGTCGGGCGATGGGCCGAAACGCTGACGAAACAAGTCGTCCAGGCGACGAGAACAGCGGGCAGTGGTGTGACCGATCTTACCGCAAACGAAGCCGCGGCGAGGACCGGTCTGGATCTGGTACTGACAGCGCTTGCCAGTTGGCGGACCCCAGGGATGCGGAGGACGCTATAAGAGAGCTGGCCATGACTTGGACGGCCACAGGCTGCTAGTGGAGCTGGCGCATGGGGGCTGCGGGGGTGGCAGCTTCGGGGATCGCCGGGGGGACTTCCAGCTGAGCGGGGGCGGGACGTCTTGCAGGACTGAGTACGGCGGTGCGTTGGTTGGAGGCATGTCGGTTGGTGCATGGGATGGTGATGAGACAGCTTCGGTGGTGGCTGGTGGGATTCCCAGCCGCGAGGGGGCGGGCCGTCTTGCAGGACTGAGTACCGCGGTGCGCTGTTTCTCTCCTTTTCCCATCTGTGCAATTCCTTGGACATCTTCCAGTGAGCGCGGCGTCAGGAGACGGGTTAGCAAGTAGGAAAAAACAGTTGAAAACGATGCTTATGTAAACGCGAGTTTGGAGTAGTCGGAGCTCTTCCCTTAACAACCAATTAAACAGGTGACAAACATGTTTCGGCCGCAGGGCATACCCTAGCGAGCCTTCTTCAGTGCCAATGAGAAAGTATGAGCAAAGCAAAGCTTCTAGGTAGAAACTAAGCATCCAACCGAACCAAACTCAATGTAATCTTTGTCAGAAACCCAGTCACTAACCACTGGGTTAAAAGGGCTTGTTGAATAGCGGGTAAGTGCGCCCATAGCCCCCCAGGCTCTGCACCTGTGGCCCTTTTCTGAGGATCTCAAGGGCAACCCCAGCGGGTCACTCAACACCCCCCCCCCCGCTGGGATAGGTGGAAGACACGAGCGCCTCTGCAGCGCTGGCACTGGGAGTTGAACCCAAGACCTTAGGTTCAGATACCATGTCAGAAACCCAGTCACTAACCACTGGGTTAAAAGGGCTTGTTGAATAGCGGGTAAGTGCGCCCATAGCCCCCCAGGCTCTGCACCTGTGGCCCTTTTCCGAGGATCTCAAGGGCAACCTCAGCGGGTCACTCAACAATCTTCATCCGGGTCACCCAAAATATCGGGGACCAATCGAAGCCAACCTGGTGGCCCCCGCGCCTGTCCTCACGGCCCTCGCGCCCGTCCTAGCTGGCCCCGCGCCCGTCCTAACGGCCCCCGCGCCCGTCCTAGCCGGCCCCGTGCCCGTCCTAGCTAGCCCCGCGCCCGTCCTAGCTGGCCCCGCGCCCGTCCTAGTGGCCCCCGCGCCCGTCCTAGTGGCCCCCGCGCCTGTCCTACCTGCCCTCGCGCCCGTCCTTCCCGGCCCCACGCCCGTCCTAGCGGGCCCCGCGCCCGTCCTACCGGCCCCCCCGCGCCCGTCCTAGTCGACCCCGCGCCCGTCCTAGCGGCCCCCGCGCCCGTCCTACCGGCCCCCGCGCCCGTCCTAGCGGCCCTCGCGCCCGTCCTAGCCGCCCCCGCGCCCGTCCTAGCGGCCCCCGTGCCCGTCATACAGGCCCCCGCGCCCGTCCTAGCCGGCCCCCCGCCCGTTCCTGGCCCGTCCTACCCAACCCCCGCAACTGTCCTCGCCGGCCCGGCGCCCGCCGCTACTGCCCCCCCCCCGCGCCCGTTCTGCCGACCCCTGCGCGCGCCCTGCCCGTCGATCTCCGGCCCCGTGCTCACCTTCCCGCCGGACTGCCGCCTATCTGCGCCTGGCCCGCTCTTCGTGCTACTACTGCACTGCACCCTCCCTGGTACGGTTCTCCATCACCTTTCACCGCACTGAACCCTCCTGCACCGCACGGCACCACGCTGCACCGCACTGTACCGCACTGTACCGCGCTGCACCGCACTGTACCGCCCTGCACCGCACTGGACCGCACTGCACTGTCTCGGTGGGTCGCCTGATCTTACCGATGCTCTTTCCTGACCTTGAGTCTTTCCCCACTGTTGCTGACGTGGCTGCCCAGCTGCGCACCATAGATGAGACCTGGCGCGCTGCCTGCACTGACGCACAGCTTAGAGCCCACCAGCCGAACCTTACCCCTACCCTCTACCTGCTTGCCACCCGCCTCCCTCACACTGCTCGTGACCGCTTCCTTAGCATCCACCCCGGTGACCTCACCCTCACAGACTTTGTAGACACCCTAACTGTTATTGAGACCCGCCACCGCTCTATCGCCAAGGCGAGCCGTACTGTGCCGGTCCCTATCTTTCAGGGTTGTGCCCCAGCTCAGTGCACCTTCTCCGATGGTTCTGCAGCTGTGGCTGAGACCGCCGCTGCAGCGCAGTTCCATCCAGTGAAGGGCCACCACCCCAAGGCTGGGCGCGGCGGAGGTGGTGGGGGTGCCAGTGGAGGTGGGGGTGGAGTCGGGTCGTCTGGTCGTGGAGTGGACGAGAGGACCCTGCCAGGCCCAGCTGAGCAGCCGCCCCAGCAGCCGCAGCAGCAGCCGCAGCAGCCGCACCAGCCGCAGCTGCCGCCGCAGACGAGGCAGGCGAGTGCCCTCCCGCCCGGTTGGCCTGGCGCTGGTGGTGGTCGTGCGCATGGTGGTGTGCCGGGTGGCGGTTCGGGAGGCGTGCGCTGTCAGTACCAGATCCAGACCGGTCCTCGCCGCAGCTTCGTTTGCGGTAAGATCGGTCACACCACTGCGCGCTGTTCTCGTCGCCTGGACGACTTGTTTCGTCAGCGCTTCGGCCCGTCGCTCGACCTCCCGGACTGGCACAGTTTGCTTAGTCGTAGATTTCAGATTTTGGACATGGACATGGATGCCATTGTTTCTGCACTGTATATGATATATGCTGATGACTCTAGTGTGCTCCCCTCTTATTACTCCTTGTCGCCTAGTGTAGCTGTGCCTAGCTTAGCCTCCCCTGCTGCGTCAGGTGTAGGAGCTTCTGCCTTGTTTAGCCTTGGTGCTTCCGCCTTCGCCCCGTCGCCAGACGCGACTGCTTCGCTTTCCTTCACCTTAGATTGTGGCGCTTCCCGGTGTTTCTTCCGTAACTCTACTACGCTGACGCCGCTTCCTGTTCCTGCTGCAGTTTCTCTTGCTGACCCCTCCGGCGGTCCCGTAGTCGCTCGCAGTTCCACCACCCTTCCCTGTCCGGCGGTTCCTTTGGGCTCTCTCACAGGTCTGCATATCCCCTCTTTCTCTAGGAGCCTAGCTGGTGTCGGCTGCCTCCAGGACCTTGGCGTCACCACTACGTTCCCTGGTCACGAGCGGTATGCTGTCTGTACCGAGGCCGCCACTAGTGCCCCCCTATCCATGTTCCCCCGGGACCCGGTGTCCGGCGTGTTCACCTTGGACACTGTGACCCCCCCGTCTGGAGCGCCCCTTCAGGTGGCTGCGTCTACCCAGGTTGCTGCTGCCTGCTCCTGTCCGTCCCTCACTCACCCGACTCTCCTTTGGCACCACCGCCTAGGTCACCCTGCGCTCCCGCGTCTGCGTCACATGTCCCAGCAGGGTCTCGTCCTTGGTCTCCCTGGTTCGTTCCCCGCTTTTCCCTCCTCCCCCGCCCCACCTTGTACGCCTTGTGTTGACGGTCGGCTTCGCCGTGCCCCTCACTCCTCCTCGTTTCCCCCTACCGCCGCGCCGCTGCAGACCCTGCACATGGACGTCTGGGGCCCCGCCCCCGTCCATGGGCCGCGTCGAGAGCGCTACTTTCTCGTGCTTGTCGACGACTTCACTCGCTACACCACAGTCTTTCCCCTGGAGCGCAAGGCCGACGTGCCTGACGCTCTCATCCCCTGGCTTGTCTCTGCCCGTGTCCACCGAGGTCTCCCTGTTCTGCGTCTTCACTCCGACCGTGGTGGCAAGTTTGCCTCAGGTGTCCTTGGTCGCTTCTATCGTGCAGAAGGCATCACCCAGACGTTCACCTTGCTGGACTCCCTACAGCAGAATGGGGTCGCTGAGCGACGAATCGGTTTGGTCATGGAGGTGGCTCGCACCTCCATGATTCATGTCGGTGCCGCCCATTTTTTGTGGCCGTTCGCTGTGCGCTACGCTGCTCATCAGCTTAACCTGTGGCCGCACCACTAGCAGCCGCAGGTTTCGCCGACCCTTCTTTGGACCGGGTCTCCTGGTGACGCGTCTGCGTTCCACGTCTGGGGCTGCCTTGCTCACGTTCGTGCCTTTGGCACGGACAAGCTCACTGCCCGCACCCTTCCCTGTGTCTTCCTTCGTTTCCCCCTTGACGCGTCTGACTGACACTTCTACCACCCGCCGTCTCACCGGTTCTTTCACTCTCGCGACGTCACCTTTGACGAGTCCGTCTCCTTCTACTGTCGCTTCCCCCACCGCGGTCCCCCGGTTACTCCCCCCCTGTTCCTGGTCACTCCTTCCCTGGTGGTCCCTCCTCCCCCCCCCTCCCCCTCCCCGTCCTGCCCCCTCTGGTGTGTCCCACGTCACCCCTCTCCCGTCAGTTGTCCCGGTCGAGGAGTCCTCTGACTCTGGTGGTCCTGCGGCGTTGTCCCCGCCGTCTGCCCCTCCCCCGGTGTCTCCTCCCCCTAAGCCTCTGCAGCCGCCGTCGCCCCCGCTGTCGCAGCCGTTCTCTCCGCTGCCATCGCCGCCACACCCGTCGTTCTCGCCGCCGCCGCCGCCACCGTCGCAGCAGCAGTTTGTCGCCTCTGGGGGTGCCCGCGTTGGGGTGGGTGCTAGTTCTGGGGTTCCTGTTGTGGCGTGCCTCGGTGGCCCTGGGGGTGGTACTGGTGCTTGGGGGGTTTCGAGCTCTGGGGGTGTTCCTTCTGGGGGTGCCGGAGTGGAGTGCCCTGGAGGTAGCCGAGGCCCAGCTTGCGGTCTCGGTGTTGGTGTTGTGCCGCCGTAGCAGCATTCCCTGCCGGTGTTAGCCCTTTGCCTGCTCGGCCTTCCGTCCCCTGACCCTGCGTCCGTTCCTCTCCTGCTGTCTCCTCCTCTTCCTGTCTACGGCCCTATGTTCCCTCCGCCGGACTCGTCCCCGGCTCGTCTTCCCCCTCGCTCCCCCCTTGTGTCCCCTCCTCTGCCTCCTGAACCGACGCCTCCGTCTCACGTCTGGTCCCGCCGTCCCTCCCGCACTCGTCCTGTCTCCCCTGTCACGCGCTCTCACCCTATGTTGCTCCGTTCCCACGTCCCACGCGTCTCGTCCTCCCCTTCTACTATCGCCTCCTCCGTCCCCTCTTACCGTTGCGCCTCCTCCTCTGTCTGACTACCTTCGTGCCACTCGTCCTCTTGTTCCTCGGGTCCTTGGCTCTCTCGTTACCGACCCGTCTGTTCCGGTCTCGTGTCTTAACGCTCTTGTCGCTGCGGTCGCTGACTTTGCCTCTACACGCCGCCTTGACTACGCCACCGCTCTGGTCTCTGACCCTGCCTATCCTCCGTCTGTCGGGGGTGCTCCTGCCCTCAGCAGTGACGTCCTGCCACCTGAAGGGGCGCCCCAGCCGGGGGGGTCACGGTGTCCAAGGTGAACAGGCCGGACACCGGGTCCATGGGGAACGTGGACAGGGGGGCACCAGTGGCGGCCCTGGTACAGACAGCATACCGCTCGTGACCAGGGAACATAGTGGTGACGCCAAGGTCCTGGAGGCAGTCGATACCAACTAGGTTCATGGAGAAAGAGGGGATATGCAGACCTGTGAGAGAGCCCGAAGGAACCGCCGGACAGGGAA